GTCCATAACTTGGCACTTCATTTTAATGGCGATTAGTTAAATTAAGCACAGAATATTATTCCCCGTGCGTTTCTCAGGGTCCTAATTCCTTTTTTACCATTGCTTTATAGTGGTGATTAAATAATACTCCCTCAGCGAGTACCTCGTAATCCCATCATTATTATCCTTGGCCCGAACTAAGCCTCCTCCAGCCGCTCGTGTTGATTGCAGTCGATTACAAAGCACTTGAGTGTAACTCTCCAGAGCGTTTACTCGTCTCGTCTCCTTGCCATTCAGTTCAGTTTACCCTTTTGTCAGAGAGGCATGAGGACATGGCGAGGCGTACATGGGTCCATCATTAAACTTTAGCTAAAGTCAAACAGAATTAAGAAAGCTGTGCTATCTTCGAGTGCTCTGGGCCACTTGGAACTAAGTAAAGCGAATTAAAAAGCACACGCTCAAGTTGCCAACGCACAGTGGCAGTCTAGGAAAAGTAGGAAAATCAGGAAAAGTAGGAAATGCAGGATAACCGGGAAAGGCGGCTCCGATAGACATGTAAATGGAAGGAAGGAAGGCGTGTAGTGGAATATTCAGGGCAAGGATGGCCCGGACTAGAAACTAGAGCAACAGAGGCAGTGGACACAGAGCGTGTGTGTGCGGTCAGTGGTAAAGATTATCGATCGGTGATTTTTTTCAATTGAATTGTCTTCAATCTTATTGGTCGTGACCAAGTCGTTGCTTTTTATGCCCTCATCCATGGCCAGTGTCGTCCTTTGGCTTTGCTTTGTTTGCGATTTTCCTCTTGCTATCCTTCTGCCTTGCTTTCCTGCTGCAACTCAATGGAGGAGAGCTCCTTCGGCACTTGCTCACGAAATTTAATAAGCACAGGACATGTTCGGTATCGTTGCGTGCAAGGCGTCCATCAGCCAAAAGGCAGTTGGCTCATTAAACCGGTTTTTCCAGCTCGACTTTCCCTCCCAACGAAGCTCTGACTTTAAAGCTTTTCGGCCGCCCACCAGAGTTATTGATTTTTTGCCCTCTGAGCAAGATAAATAGTTCTAGGGAAAGTGTCTCATAACGAGGGCTCCTTTGAGACACTTGGAAAATCCTCGACTAAATCCAAACACCGAGTCGCATGGATAAAAGGGGTAAAAACAATTAAAAAAACAGGTAACCCTCACCTAAATGTGGGGCATAATTTGTAAATTGTTTGAACCCACGCCAGGGCAGGCAATATGGGCCAGAAACAACAAGAACAGAGGAGTCACAAGTGTTACAGTTTTTTATTGTTGTATTGCGGAAAAGACAACAAACAGAAATTAAAACACATGTGCACAGGACTCGGGACACGGGACAAAGGACACCATACACAGGCAAACAAACCAAACAACACATGCAAAATACATACACAGCGAGTGTGACTCCTTTGGGGTATTTTCTTTTCGGTGGAGTAAATGAACCCAGCAAGCCAAAACAAATAATTACGCCCCAGAAAAAGCAACAACAATGGAGCAGGAGAACCCATCCCAGAATAAAGCATAAATGTCGTCTGCTGTCCTTTTAGTCCTTTCCGTCCTGAAATTTCCCCTCCTTCTGTAGGGAAACCTCCACCAAGCTGAATAAATGCTGACAATGGACGTGAAATTATGACAAACTCACATGTACTGGTACTTGTTTATACACACACACATATATATATATGCATGTATATGTTTAAGGATATGTAAGGATATATCTTCGTACAGCTGCTGGAGCAATTCATTTGGCTGGCACTTGTGACATTTGCGTTCTGGCCGCATTATAGAGCTTATTATAAGCGCAGGCAAAAAGTTTCCTTTTTTCCGCCCATAGAAGAAGGTTAATTATGTTGCCCAGAGCCAGGACCTCAGCAGGATGAGGTGTAACTTGGTTGCCAAGGCTTCGCTTTACTCGTATATTGGAACCAATTGGGCCTGTAATTCATCTTAATTTTCCCAACAATTTCGCCATCGTGTCATAATACAAACATTGCTCAATCTGGACATAAATATAATTAAAAGTGACTTACGGCTGTTTTTTCATTCGAAACAATGTATGAGCCCAAAGCCCACGTGAAAACTTCAATCACTGTCTGGCCCAAATTGATTTTCCCCGAAGTAAAAGTAAGCAAAGATATAAAAACCGAAAACCGAAATAAAAGCCAGGAGACACTTTGATTTGCAAGCTGTCAGAATGAACTTATCACCTTGGCGTCGTTGTTTATCAGCTAGAAAATGAAAACTGCCGACTATATATAATATATATATACATATATATATAAAAAAAAAAAAGAAAAGCCTGACCAAGCATTTCGTTTCAATTTTCCCGCTGCTCGCACAGATTTATTTGCCTATTTCTGTGCGCTCTACCGACGAAAACGTGACGAAAAGCGTTTTCCCAGTTCAGTTTTCCTCCCACACAAAAATATATATATATATACACATAACAGACTAGGAAAAGCGCCTGAATATCTGACATTGAGGAAATCTGAATGACTGGCCCACATTTGACACTGCAAACTTTTGCCAGGCCAAGGCAAATATTTTGCTGGACCTTTTTTATTACATTTAAATAATTTGATTGCAAGTGTAGGGTCCGAGGCATTTAAACTTGCCCCTGAGAACTGGGCCCTTTATCGGGAAAACAGTTTTCAATTCAATTTAATTCACTTTGGGCCTTCACTCTCTGAGTGAGACTGTGTGTGTGTGTGTGTGTATGTAGGCGTCTGATACTTTTTTATTTAATTTTTTTCTGCACTCTCTCTTTTTATTTCTTACAGCATAAAAATTTATTATCATAATAAGCGAGCAAAGGCCGATGAATCCGATATATATATATATATTCCCCCTCTATCATATATGTATGGAAGTAAGCCGGCAGCAACCCTCCTCGCTGTTTTTTACGACTGTTTTGTTTTTGTTTCTGTTTTGATGGAAATTCGATATTTGCAACACGTATTGAATTTTGATCAGGCAATATGAAATATCTTTTTACCAGGCCTTAGCCTGGCCTTAGCTTCCTCTCAGCTCGACTAGAGCATTGATTTAAAGGGCAGCAGGCTATTGATTTTCCGGAAAATGCCCCAGAAAGCAGTGGGGCTAAGCCCTCCCCGGAGAGAATGCCACTCGACAGCAGATGCGTATCTGCAAACAATTAAGAAATTGTTAAATTAAATTTCCCAAAAATTCCTCAGCTCAGGGCTTCCGTTTCTTGCCACCACCCTGCAACTAACTGTAGCATCTAGATACACGAGTGTGGCATTGTTTCTTTGCTGTTTTGTAATTCTATTAGTTACAAGTTCTGCAGTGTGAAAAGGTTTTACCCTGGCAGCCAGCAACACCACCACCTCAAATGAAAGCAAATTAAAAAACTTTGCAATTGCAGTTGGCGTTGCCAATGGGTAGAGGGGTCTGGGACACCCCTTAGCTGTCTTTTTGAATCGCTTGCCCCTTTTTTTTATCTCTGCTTTTCCATGGAATGTGTGTTTGGCAATCGAAATCGAGTGTAGCTGATATGTGGGAAATCGAGATGGGGATAGAGGAGCGTTCCTCGATTTGTTTCACCACTATTTACATCTGGAGCCTGCCAACTCTTGAGCTCGACTTGGCCAAAAGCGTCATAGAAATCCACTCCAGACGCGCGTATAATGCTCGACTAGGTACGAGTGTGTTTCTGTTACCCTTCAAATGGAAACAGCCATCATTTAACCGCCAGACAGATAGACATGGAGTTTGGGATGCTGGGAGACTGGGCTCGGAGGCGCTATATGATGGACCGAAATGTATGGTAAAAAGGGGGGTGATTTGTATGGTACTTGCCGCGCTGTATGTCGGTTTATATATACTCCATAGAAAGGCCAGCGAGAAAAAAACAAAACAAAAATGATTTATCACTCTGGCGGCTTGTATCTGAGCTACGTTTGTCCGTTGACTTTGACGGGCCGCCGTTGCCGCCGACCCCTACTCCTAACCCTCCGCATTGGACGCCCCTGACAATGCGTGAGGATTACAAAACAGCAACTCATGTGCATGATGAATTAAATTAGCAAAAAGCAAAAGGCAAAAAGCCAGCTGGAAATGGAAGAGCAATCCCACAGACCATTATCGACACAGTTTTTGGTTTTGTTTTAAAAAAGTTGTTCATTTCATTTGCATTGTTCGCTGGCGAAACAGAAAAATATCTTTGTTTGTCGTAATCGTACATAGATTTTTAGATGTATATATATATATATATATAGTATATAAATAGTTGTATTCACAAAATTGAATTATCCATAGGTTATACAATTATCGTAGAACTAAACTTAGAACTTAGACTCATCGTATATTACAAAATGATAAAAATAAATAACAGTTTTGGGCTTTCATACTGGTACAAGTGTCTTATGTAAGGGATATATCCTTCTTTTCTTAATCCCAATTAATATTTTTAAATCTCAATAGTTTCGAACTGATTTTTGCTTAATTAATGACGAGTAGGCGAGTGTGTGTGCTGAAATAAATGCTCTCTGTTCGTACGTTCTATAGGCAGTTGTTAAACATTTACTCGTATAATATATGCGTAGATTTATACGTACGTACTTAGCGGGCAAACATACAAATATGTATATATATAAAGTGTACATCATACATAGTAGGTCTTTAATATCAGTAGTTTTGCTTTACTTTACACAGTCACGTACATGCAGACACGCACATTGATATATCCATATATATATACTCGAACTATATATATAATTAGCTATGCATATTGTGTATGCGCCGCGCCAGTTTGCGAAACTTTTATTACAATTATCGTTTAGTTTTGGTAAGCGTAAGTGTTTAAAATGAGCTTTTCTGCTTTCTGCTTTCTGGTTTCGGCTTTTGTTTACTTAACCGCCCCATCTACATACCATCTGCATACTATTATTATTAATATTATTATTATGTTGTAGTTATTAGCCAAAGGGAATCTTCCCTGGCTGTCGGTTTGCTAGCTAATTATTTATGCTTTTTACATACAGATTACTTGACAAATGCATTTATCGATTTTACGGCTGTGGCATACAATTTACATGTGTACTTGAATGTGATTATTGAATTATCCCCATACGGTTACAAATTTGTATCTGTATCTATATAAAGGTGTATCTCTGTATCTGTATCTGTGTTATATATCTATCTGTTTGGGCAGTAAATACGGTATTGAGAGCTATTTACAAATGGATGCAGTAGATGCAGTAGACACTGGAGATGCAGGGCAGCTAGTCCGGATTAATGGCAATTACCAAGTCAATTATTGAACAATCAATTTTCGGGGCACACTAAGACTCTCTCTCTCTCTCTCTCTCTCTCTGAGGATGCAAATGCAGTCATAAGCTGGCTTTACTAACCCAACTCCATTCCAACTTTATGGTAGAGGTTCCAGAGTCCAACTGATTAAAACCATATTAAAAAGTTATCACAAATTCCCCCCTCGGGCAATTCTCGGCTAAGCAAATGCCAGATGAAGACCGAAAGTTCGTGCTCATGTGAGGGAGAAAACTAAGTTTGCTGTGGTAAAGTTTTGAAACTTTGAAATGGCATTGTGTGTTGTAAGTAACATCCCCCTGCCTTCTGCCCTCCTCACTTTCCCCTTGGCTATACACACACTCTCTTGACATGACCCAGGCCCTTCTCAACTGCATCTGTATCTTGTATCTCGTATCTTTAGGTTTGTTTAGTGCATCTAAAATGACTTTACACTGGATAAACAAAATAATGTACGTTAAAATCTGGCTGGCTGCCTGGCTGCCTGGCTGGCTAGTTTCTACTTCCGCATCTCTTTTGTTTGCCTCCCCCTTACGCTTCCCTTCCCTTCGCTTAGCTTAACTCGCACATATATTTTAGTAATTAAAATTATGCACAGGAACCAGTCCCTAAAGAAATCACTGTCACTCTCCCAGAAAGCGGTTGGGCTTGCCCCCCTTACACCAGATACGCCTGGACATGAGGTCCTTGTTGTTGTCCGGCTACGGCTGTCGGATTTTGTAGCTGTTGCTGCTGCTGCTGTTGTTGTTGTTGTTGTTGCTGGGCGGATTGGGCCGCCTTGGAGCCCAGGGTCCCGGCCTGAGCCTGCTGATGATGCAGCTGCTCCCGCTTGGGCCGCCAGGTCTGGGCCCTCTGTGCCGCCTCCATGCCAAGACCACCGGCTGGCATCATCAGCATGTGCTGCTCGTTATCCAGGGTCGAGTAGTCGGAGTCGATGCTGGAGTATATGTGCTCCGAGGGTGGACGCATCCCATGGTGCTGGTAGTACTGGGCGTGCAGGTGATGGTTCCCACCGGATCCTGATCCCTGCTGTTCTCCACGCCGCTGTGGCCTGGGACTGGGCGTAGCCGTAGTGGCCGTAGAGTAATTCTGCTCTGCCGGAACAGAGGCATTAACTGCTACGACCTGTGGCACAGGACCAACTCCAATTCCGTCCGCCGGACCGCAGTAGGCAGGTGGTGGAGCCTGGCGGTAGAGCAGTCCAGGACTAGCCGGCTGCTTCACCCGCTCGTGGTTGTGATGGTCCAACTCGAGGGTGTAGTTGTTGCCTCGGAATGTGGGATAGTCCACGGGCAGGGCGTAACGCAGCTTCTCCCAGAAGTGGCGATCCGAGCGGCGAATCCGGTGAACAGCTGATGTCTTCAGATAGGGCAGCAGTTCAATATCGCTCTCCGCCTCGAAAGCCACCTCAGGCTCCTCGATGATCACCAGCTTCTGAGGTCTTCCACGTAGGGCATCATGAACGGAGCGGCGAAGTTCACAGCGGGCCCACTCCGTCTGCAGGAAGTTGCGGGTTAGAAGGATGACCACTCGACGGGAGACCCTCGTGGCCTCAAGTAGTTGATAGTGGGTGGCATCATGAGCCAGATCCCTATGCTGCAGACAGACCCTCAGTGGAGGTCTTCCAGTTTCCAGCTGGGCCGCCAAGTGCTGGCACACGAACTCCGAATCCTTGGCGGAGTGGAGGAGCACTGCGTCGTACAGCTTCTCGGACTCCTCGCAACGTGGTCCAAATACCCGGACGCCGTAATGAGCAAACAGCCAGATCCTCAGGGATTCCCGGAAGGCAAATACCATGGCAATGACCACGATCAGGAAGACAAGAGCCAGTGCAGCAGCCACCAGGGGAATATAGGATTCTGGGATGCCATGCTGCAGCATAGAGCCACCGGAGTAGTAATCGGTGCAGGCAGCTCCGGTGGCATTGAAGTCCAGCTCCCTCTTCTCGAGGGCTCCAGCATTCAAGGTGCTATCCTCCAGAGCGGAGCCACCAGCCCCCGAGCTGGCTGCCATGCAGTAGATATCCTGGGCATCCTGGACAATCAGGGCATTATCCGCCACATAGGCAGTGAGGGCCTGCAGAAACTGGCACCTGCAGCTCCATTGGTTCCTGCCCAGACTGATGGAACGCAACCTCGTGCCAAAGTGGGTGGCGTGCATCTGCCAAATGGGCAGAGTCACCAAGCGATTGCCATCGATGCGGATGAGCTCCAGGGCAGCCAAGGGAGCCAGGGTGGCATTCTCAATGGTAGTCAGTTGGTTATTCTGCAGATACAGCTCCCTCAAGGAGGAAAGCTGCTCGAATTCGTAGCCATGAAGAGTGCGCAACTTGTTGTCGGCCAAATGGAGCAACTGCAGCGAGGCCAGGCTGGCGAAGGTGCGATTCTGGATGGAAGCCACCTGACTACCATTCACATAAAGAGCTCGCAAATTCTTGCGTCCGATAAATGCATGATTCGCCAGCACTGGGAAAATATTTCCGTCCAGATAGACCACACTCGAATCCATGGGAACGCGACGTGGCAGCTCCGTGGTCTGCTTGCCACCGCAGTCGACCACATTGGTGGACCAGATCTGGTCATGGTAGCAGGTGCAGTTATTCGGGCACGTCATCTCACAGTCACAGGCATCGAAATCACAGCAATGACACAAAGCGAAGCAGTGGGAGTCGTAGCTACAGAGGAAGTCCTGCGGACGCAGACCACTCAATGGACGAACTGCAGCACCGCGGGCATGTGGCATCACGCACTCAATGTTGGCCATATCCATCACACGAGGATGCTGCCTGGTGGTCAGATTGTTAATCCTCTGCAGCCAGTCCATGGTGCAGTCGCACTCGAAGGGATTACCACCCAAGTAGAACTCCGGCAATGGTTTCGGAGCCACCACTGGAGCCACTCGCAATTGTTGCAACTGCAGTTTACTCAGCTGATTGGCATAGAGATCCACTCGGGCCAGATTTGCCTTGTCCACAAAGGCATTCGGCTGCACATTTCCAATGAGATTGTTGTTGATGAAGAGCAGCTCTATTGTGTTCGGAATCGACATGGGTCCAATTTCCGTTATGCGATTGTGCGAGGCATCCAGAGTCTTTACACGGATCTCCTCCTGCAGCTTGTAGTAGTTGCCCAGAGCCTCGATATAATTTCCATGGATATCCAGCCACTTCAAGTTCGATGGAATGAAGGCATAATCAAACCACACCAAGTGATTCTCGGATAGATTTAACCACAGCAGAGAAACGAGTGTGGCGAAAACTCCATTTATATCCGATAGGAAGTTCCTGTCCAGACGAATCGCCTCCAGCTCGTAGTTCTTGTCGAAGGAGCCACGCTCGATGCTCTGAATGCGGTTCTTGGCCAAGTTCAGTACACTCAGACGTGGCAGATCCTGGAACATGCCCACAGTTATGTTGCCAATCTGATTGTCTATCAACCGCAGACCAGTCAGCTGGTGAAGATTCTTGAAACTTTGGTTGTCGAACGTCCGGATTTGATTCTCGCCCAAGTCGAGGGTGCGCAGCATGGCCAAGTCCTGCAGAGCACGCGGTACCTCATTCAGTTGGTTGGAACTCAGATCCAGTTCCTTCAAGTCCGAGCAGTTCTTGAACACAGCTGCCTCCACAACGCTAATGAGATTATTGTTCAGCGTTAGCTTAGACAGCACATACAGTCCATTGAAAAGTTTGTCATCCAACGTGTGCAGACGATTCTCGGCGAGATTGAGGGTATGCAGGTTGTACAGCGGCAAGAAGGCATTGTCCTCGATGTGGCCAATGGAGTTGTTGCGCAGATTCAGGATCTGGAGGAAGTACAGCTCCTTGAAGGTGCGATAATCAATGCGAGTCAAAGCATTATGGGCCAGATTCAGCACTATGAGACGGATCAGGCCAGCAAAGGTGGTGTTATCCACATGGTTGGAGGTCAGCTGGTTACCCGACAAATCCACTATCAAAAGTTGCTCCAGTCGATGAAACAGTCCCTTGGGAAGCTCGTAGAGCTCATTTTGCTGCAGGTGGATCTCTCGCAGTTCCTTGGAGCCAGCAAAAAGACCTTCAGGCAGGGTCTCCAGGTGGTTATTACTCAGATTGACTATCCGCAGAGAAGCCAAACCGGCTAGGGCTTCGCCAGACAGCTCGGAGAGATTATTATGGGCCAGATTAAGGTGTTGCAACCTGCGCAGCCGGGAAATTCCCCAGCTTTCGCTCACGGATCTCAACTCATTGTGACTGGCATCCAGGACCTGGAGCTCACTGCCAGCACTTCCGGAACCCGCTCCGCAGTTCATGTCCGCAAAGCCCAACTGCTCGGCAGTTCGGATGCGGTTGCGGGTGAGATTGAGCACCTGGAGATTACCCACCGGACAGAGGAAGCCAGCGGGCAGCTGTCGCAGATTGTTGTCGCCCAGATCCAGATCGGTGAGTTGCTTCAGGCCGCCCAGGGAGTCGGGGAAGAGCTCCAGGGCTCGTGTTGGACCCCATTCACTGTTATGGGTGCTCAAACGCAGCGATTTCAGAGTGGCCAAGCCCTCGAAGGCATTGTTGGGCAGCTGCAGGAGCTTGCACGAGTCCAGACGCAGTGCCTCTAGGGTCTGCAATCTGGCAAACACGGCCACTGGCAGCGAGGACTCGAAGAGGTAGAGCTCGCTGCACTGGATGGTCAGCTGGCTACTGCCATCGGCACCCTGGAGATCCAGGCCCGGCTGTCGTTCAATCAGACGCAGGGCGCAGTGCACCAAACTGGTGCCGTTGTAGGACCAGGAACACTGATTGGCCGGTCCACTGTGCTGTGATGGGGCATTGGCCGGAACTGGCGAGGAAGCCGGCACATTGGACAGCAGCGAGGAGTAGTCGCCGGATAGCGATACCGTTGCCGCGGCTCCTGTTCCGGCGCCCAACATGGCACTGGCACTCGATTCGCTCTCCTTGGGCGCCAAAGCGGCTTCAACTCCAAAGGTTAAAGATGAAGTCCAGGATAACCCGAGCAGGAGCAGCAGTATTGCCGCCATGATTGGGTTTTGTGTGTGTTTGGGAGGGGACTTAGGGTATCTGTATCTCGCAGATACTCCAAAAGGGTGTAGTTTTCGTTATATTTTTCGTAGATTTCTCACTCTTGTTCACTGCGAATTGACATTTTTCCTAGCCACTGTTTCACTAAGCGCACATTTTTGTATATTTTAGCACGGCTCTCGTTTAAGCGCTTTCGTATATCAATTTCTCTTTCACTTGTCCAGACTGGCTCTGTTTCTCTTCTTTTGTATATTTCTCTAAGATACTTCTGTTGGTTAACTCTGCGTTTTTCGATTTGAATTGTGCGTGGCCCACACGTCCGAACCGTCCGGCACTCGCACTCGAACTGTTTTCAGGTTTGTCACACACTGACGGTTGAGCCTCCAGTTTGACTGCCTCTGACTTGCCGCTTGCTATCTCGTGGATAGCAAAGTATCTCGCGGATACGAGCGTTGCAACCGAGCAATGGCGCATGAGCCCTGCTCTCTTACTCTCTCGGTGTCTCGAAATGAGAGGGTTTCTAGTTACTTTTACAGCCGCTGCTGGTTCAAATGGCGCTAGTGTTGCAGAGAGTAACCGAGAGAGAGTGTTTTTGGCTGAGTAAATGAGAGTCGTTTGAGTGAAATCACTTTGTGAATCAAACGTAAACATTGACCGAGAGCAAATAGGAACTTGAAATTCAATTGGGAATAAAATTGTTTTAGTCAATAAGAAGTTATCATGTAAGTCAACAATTATGGGTAAATTGATTAATATATTAAGGGTTTCGGGATATTACTTAACCATTTGACGGTCTAGTTATTAATTTTGATTACTTTTTAAATGGTATGTGAGCTTAACTGACTTTAAATGTCTCTGAAACATGGGCCACAGTATAGTTTCAAAGAGTTCCTATCTTAAGATTCTATTTCTATTTAAATTCTAATCTAAATGTTTTGTTTAAAAAAGTAATAATAAATTAATTTCTTTTTAAGTAAATATTTTTAAATTTTCAACAAATTTAGATTCTTATTTCCCTTTCTATAAAAAACACCAAACAAAACCCAAAATTCTCTGTGAAACTTCCAAACAATTTAAATTCCTGACTCTTGTTTATCTTGTTCTCTCCCTCTCGAACTCATTCATTCAGACTCTCGTATCTCGCATCTGAAAACTCTCCCCCTGCTCTCTCTCATTCTCCCTCTTTTCACTCAATAGTTTAACCAGAGATTCTGAACGAATGAACCACTTCCCTACCCCTCCAGCAGCCTCCTCTATCCAGAGAGATTGTTATTGTTACCATTAACTCACACGCGCCGCCAACAGCAAACGCCGCATGCAGCATGCATATCCGTCGGATACTTTTTCCCAGAGCTCTGCATCTTCTCGGCATCTCTTCTAATTGCCGCAGCTGCAGCAGATAATCAAGCGGCATGCCATTTTGTCAACGCTAAAAGATGTTTAACACATTGCCCCGATCTTCGGACCTAGATGGATATCCACTAGATACCAACTTGCAGCTATTTATAATCTACGATTGTTTAGACAAGGACTGCAGTTTCTGTTTAGATACTTAGGAGCCGAGATGCCTGAGGCCAAGGCCGCCCTAGAGAAGTTTTCGAGTGGCGAGTGGTGAATCATTTGCCACCTCTGGAGTTGCGTACGCAAAATGTAATATTTATGAATGCTGCTGCTTGCCCCAGCCCCTGCCTCATGCCAACCATAAAACATTCTTTTTGGGTACCCACTCTCTTTGTATCTTTCGCTCTCGACCAAGATGGAACTTTTGTTTGTGTATGTGAAAGGAAGTTTCTCTAATGCATTTATTATTCATAAGAACTTTTTCATTAGGAGGCTGAGGCAAGTCCTAGTGCTGAAACAAATGTCCAAGGTGGTCGAAATGGTGAAGAGCTCCCCCAAATACCACCCCGACCAACCTCTAGTGACAACGAGAGAGAGAGTAACTAAGTTAGTACCTTTGACTTGGGCTCCGACTTGACTGCCTTTGGAAGATACAACACACAGCACTGGCATTGTTTTTTCGAGGTGTCGGAAACTTGTTCAACTTGTTTCCATTTTACTATTTTTCCCCAGATCTCCTCAGATGAGAAGCTAAAATAGCACAGCACATGTGGATGTGTGTGTTTTTGTGAGTGGCTTCTGGGAATGCCGCAGGACACTCGTACGGTTATCGACCAAGGAGTGAGTCCTGTACTTACAGGGGTATTAACTCGGAAAAGAACTCGAGAAGGGATAAGGATTTCAAAGTGCTAAGAGAATGGAAATGTATTTTAGTTTAAAAATAATATTAACATAATTTTCGGCTTCCAAGAACTATATTTAAGTTTATCTAGACCGGAAAACCATTGAGGGTATTACCCAGAATAAACCCTTATAATTTCGATTACAAATTCCCAACTCCAATATATGATAGTGTAAAACAAAGACTTTTCCTTCAGCTAGCAGGGTTATCAAAGAGTTCTTATCTGCAGCGATGCCACCATGAAGTCATGTAAATCTCGCAGATGACTTAATGTTCGAGGGCAATGTTCGGAATGTATTTATAATATTTATGCCTTCCACCCAGATCAGAGGTTATCCCCAGTGATATCCCTCAACTCTGAATATTGTACACATTTCGATTTATAGTGCGCAGTTATGGCCGAGAAGCACTGAATTTAAATATGCATTAAATTGCGTGATAAATTGTCAGCTGATTGCTGGGAGTGCAGTCGCTGATGTATGCATAAATAATTAGAGAGCGACAATAAAATGAGTTGGCAAAGTTTAATTACTAAAGTGCGACTACCAGCACAGGGCAGAACTTTTCGATTAGTGACTCGGCCAAAGTCGATTTCCATGGACCGTTCTGTTATCTGTACCCCCCGATGCAGGGTCAGCTGAAAAGGGGGAAAATTTGTAGTTTCCAGGGGAATGAGAGATGGCAATCCCAAACAAATTGTGAAATGGCAAATGCTGCACGGACCGATATAAAATATGCCGGCTGGACACAGGATTGCTGGCCAAAAGCTGAACTAAAAACAAATTTCTGGTGCCGCAGCAGCAGCAGCAGCTGAAATTGACAGACAGTCCGGGTGAGGAGAATTCCGATTTTGGTAGAATGAGAGGATGGCATTGGAGCGGTTACCGCACAGTGGGACAGCTTTGCTATTTTATTTTTGTATTTTTTGCTGTATTTGTTGTTTTTGTGAACCGACTAGCCATCATGTGTGTGAGCCCTATCCGCACCGAATTGATGCAGCTTTTGACAAAGGAAACTCCCCTTTGTCTCTCCTTTTTTTTTGTTCATTAACGGACTCGTTTTTCCAGGGCAAAAATGCAGCACGAAATGAAATCGCCCTGATTGATGAAATTCTCCAAATTGCATCTACTCGCCTTTATTGATGGCTTTTCCATGACAAACGCAACATGACAACAAACTTTGTCCAGCAAGTTAATCGGATCAATGTTGGCCAAATGCAGGTCGTTATTCGGCTCGTTTGCTCCCAAATTGGAATTAGAATGCGTGCGTTGCAGATGGCCAGGACTGTTTAAAGCGCAGCCATGTTATCGCTCAAATCTGCAGTTATTTTAAGTGGTTTGTATTAAGGAGAAACTAACAATTGATTTAGTAAAATGTAGCAACAGGAATTCACTGATGTTTAGGAGAGGTAAATGGCTTAAATTTCAGACTTTAGGGTTTGTTAATAAAAAATCAATGAATGTGGTTTATTTGATTAACTTTTGTGAGAGAAGTGTTGAAGAAGGAACTTAATTCTTAAATATTATTAAGAAAACTAAGAAACCTAAGATCCCCATACAAAGTATCAGTGTCGTACGACATAACTCAGTTTTGTTTAAGCGATAACAGGATGCCTTGATCTTGTTGCCAGTTTGCAAGTTCCCTGCCAGCTGCCGACAAGTGTGAAGATTAGGGGGGCTCCTGCCCCTACTCCAACTGCCCAATGTGGAGTCCGCTGCTCACTTGTTTGCTGCTCCCATGATATAAATTGCACAGCTGAGCGGGCAGCATAATCGCATGCAATTATGCCGCACACAATCACAACGGGCCAACCAACGAACCAGCCAGCCAAACAACCAACCAGCCAGCCAGCTAGCAAGAAGTTTGCAAAACTCGCCGGGCAACTCGGCTCAACTCAAGTCAACTCAACTGGGCTGGAAGTGGAAGTGGCAGTGCCAACAAGCTGGCACTAACAGGTGAGTGGGATGGGCAGAAGAAGATTCTGAATTCTGAATTGGCAGGAGGAGATTGAAAGGGGAGAAGGTGGTGGCACCACCACCACCATCAGAACTCCTCTTCAATCGGGAACCAAGCAATGCAGCAGGCGAGCTGCTGCTGCAGTTTTTGCTGCCTCTGTTTTGTTTGTTGCACAATCTTGTCTAACTTTGTTTAGTCATCGCCTGGCTCTGTGGCTCTTCTCGTTCAGGTTCTGAGCCAGTTTTCCAGCCTTCTGTTGACTTTCGTCCTCGTCCTCAGCCTCGGCCTCATCCTGCTGATGATTTTTGCCTGATTTTTGAGACCGCGTTTGCTTGGCCATATTTTGTTTCTTCTTCCGATTCCCTTTTGCTCCCTCTCTCTCTCCCCTCTCGATGATTGCAATTGGATGCACAGGCGCAGCGCCTCGTATGCAGTTTTGATCTATTGATTGTTTTCGCCCCTATAGTTTCCCATGGCTTTCCGATTTCCGTTTTACCGTTTTCTACCGTTTTCCGCCTGCGAATCATGGCCACTCCAATCCCAGTCTCGAGCGTAAGCAAATATTGCATTTTGCGTTTTCCAATTAAACTTGAACAAGCGCCGAGCAATCGAAGTCCGACTCGAAGCCTTTTGTCTTTGGGGATTCCGTGCGATGACTGTGCGAGTGTGTCGAATGTGAAGGGAAACGGAACTTTGTTGCCAAGTGTTAAGCAACTCTGGCCGAGGTGAATGCGGAAAGGCGTTAGGAGAAGCGTTAGGCAATGTCATTGAAGGCTTACCAAGTTTGAGGCTCAAAAGGAGGTTCTACAACTTTGACAAGGCAATGAAGCGAACTAGGAATCTTATGATTTTTTGTTAATATATTATAATAAACAGCATATAATTTTATAGGTACCATATCAAACTATCTGGCTTATAGTAGTAAATTTAATTAAAAATGAAAATAGGGTTGGAAAACTCCTCCTCCTCACCATAACATACTCTTCCACCTTGTTACTCCACAAGGAAACCGGACTATAAACCCACAACACTGTAACTCCAATGTCCTTCGAGGGGAATAATTTTACAGTAAAGTATAATAAGTTATAATAAGTAGCCGGTAAATAGTAATTTGCGTTTAAAACTTGGACTGCAGTTGCAGTCTGCAATGAAGTCTGTGGGAAAGGAGACTCAGAGATACGAATCGCCTGGCAGCTGCCCAGTTAGAGTGTAAAACGATGACCATAAACTAGGGCCCAGAACGACCTCCATTAAATTGCGTTCAATGATTAAAACCCCTCGAATCAACTACTCATTCAGGAAAGTAGAAAAATAGAAAAGCCAGGCAGCCAACTATTCCCGGGAAAGCCGCAAGTATAAGCCATAATTCTTGGAAGGCCTTAGACGAAACATCCGAACAGTGAAAATAATAGCAATTACATAGGAGAGTCGACCAATAAAACCAACTACCGACTAGATATGAGGGCCAGGCACTACTTTAAGAACCCTCCGAAAAAGTACTTCTATTGGAGGAGAGATGGAGTGTGCCTTCAATTTGGACACGTGCAAGTCAGGGCTAGACTGAAGATGGGTTTTAGAGTTTTCATTTAGCGAGTTACTGGCTGGTTGACCGCTTTCCCAAGAACTGTTACAAGGCGTCACTAAACTAGTTTACCGTAAACACTAAAGAACTAAGCCAGAACGTATAATAAATTACTCAGAATTTCCAAGCAAAGATATATAATTTCCCGAGGAATGCCGTGCACGTCCATAGCTCGTTAATTCGAAGAACTCAAAAATCATATGTGGCCAGGCAGTCAGGAACACACTCCACTCCCCTCGAGGAACAAAAAGCATTCACTCGGCCAAAAGCCCCAAAAAAACGGAGACAATTAAAATATATATTTATTTCTGTGTTATTTTTTTGTGTTTCGATGGACGCCACACGTAAACCTTGGCTGCATTTTAATCATTTTGTGAGTTCTTCTGGACTGAGTTTGGTTTGACGAGTCCCAACGAGTCGGTTGCACGTGCTCGCTGCTCTTCGAGCCACATCAATCAAAAATAATTTATATGAGAGCGGACCTTAAAGCTTGGCCATCTAAGATATGGCCAAGACACGTAGGTCACCACATACCGCAGGTAATATTGAAGCCACAGCCAAATGCATTCTCTCTCGGCCACTGATAAACTTGTTCATTCAAAACTTGTGCTGTACTTCGAAGCATTTATAATTTACGAGCTCGGCTTTGGCCTGGAAAAGTGTCCACGGCTAATTGATTTATGCCAGGAGAGTGTGAGCGGGAAATCACAACGAAGCCATCACCTAGTACTTAACAAGAATTCAAAATTTTTGATGTTAAGGTAGCGTACCATTTATGGAATTCAAATTTTAACTATCAGTTAGACGTGCTATAGGTTTATCACGATTCATAGCGCCCTAACACTAGTCAGCTTAAAGGCTTAGAAGTCTCTCAGTGAAAGGCTTAATACCTTTATATTTTGGTTAGAATGCTGCCAGATGAGTTCTGTTCCAGTTTTGGGCTGGTATTTACAAAATATTTATGCCAAATGTCTGGAATATAGAACAGTAATTAGACAATCGGACAATTGAATGAGCCAGGAAAATCAATAGCACCCTCTGTTCGGACAAAAGAACTTGGCGCTGCCATTAAATTTGTCACCCGCGGCTAAGCTAAATGTCAAATAGTACTCACGGCCATTGCCAGGATATATAGAAGACTCACACACATTCACACACACTGCTGGGGGAGAACAATAACAGCATCAATTTGACACGTACAGGCGCTAATGATGGGAATGGCCAGCCAACTGAACGATCGAATCCAGAATCCTGTAACGTGAATCGTGAATCCTGAATCCTGCTCTGCGGACAGACCGCTCAACATGCCCACAATTGAACCACCCGGATGGACTTGGACTCCCTTTTAGGAACTTTGACATCCTGCCGTTTTCGAGCATTCCAAATCCCACTCTCATCCCTCGACTTTCTCGAATGCTGTCAGTTCCTGGCATGGTGTGAGTTGACATTCTGAGAGTCGACGACTGCCAATTTAATTCCCATTGACAAAATGCACAATTGCCGGACACCATGCCGATTTCGCCCTTCCTACTCTATTGCCCCTCCCCTGATATCAAATGGCCCTTTGTTCGCAATGTAACTGTTCTTGTAATTGTGATTTCTGCTGGTGACAGCCACAGAAACCTCGCACACTTGCTATTAATTATTTTAGAAAATCGCCAGTAATAACAATAAATTTATGCAACCCACTTTTCCTTCTTGCACATATCATTTTCCATACACAATTTACACAGTATTTTTCCACCCACAACTGTTCCATTTTTCACGACATTCAAATATTTGCCGGCAATTCAGGCATTGCCAAGGCCAATGGAGAAATGGAGTTAGTCGTCGTCATCGAATCGAGTGCAATCAAGGCAAATGTTTGCACTGGGCTTTTCGACTGTCTGGTCTGACATCGCTGGGATTTCCCCGTTAACCAATGGCTCCTCCCCCATTCCCATTTCCCCGACCTGCCATACCAACCACTTTCCATTTTGACGGCATATCGATTTAATAAATTTGCGTGCGGCCCTTGCGACAATTTGATTGACAACCAAGTTCGGCCCCCTCAGTCAATCGCTTGATTTGAGTTGGTTAGGCCAGCTTTTTTGTGTATTTTTTGAGACCAGAGATGGCTGAGAGATATGTAGATATGGCCATTGATATGGTTTGGGGAATTGGTTTGGTTTTAAGCCACTTGCAGGGGCAAAAACAATGAAAAGAGAAATCTTTGGAGGGCCACTCTCTTGATTAGTTAGATCAAAAATTTGACAATTGAGTTTTGTGTTCTAGGGAAAACTATGTCAGCAGTTTATAAACGCATACTTTTTTGTATAAAATTTAGGAAATAATATATTTAACAGTGATTTTTAATGGCAATAATCTTAGTCACAAACATTGAAGCATTGAAAATCTCTTAATATTGTATAATTTGATTGACCTTTCGGAAATCATTAACAAGATCATTAAGAATGTTTTATCTCCATAAACAAACTTTAGATGCTTAAAGATGCCTGTTAAATCGTTAAAAAAAAACACAATAATTGGTAGATAATTAAACCTATTAAAATTTACCTATACATGCAGCTTACAGATCTTATAACAACTATAGGCATACTTTTATATCATTTATTATAACTTAAAATATATAATCTTTAATATTAATAATAGATAGATACTTTCTTAAACCAATTTAATCATATAAAAACAGTCAGTTCCCATGACTTCCAGCCCAGCCGTTACTTCTGATCAGTTCTTGGCAAGACCCACCTCATTTCCCCTGGCAGCCCACACAACCTTACATTATATTCATAAATCAAATGCCACTGTGCGATCAAACACCATGGACAGAAAATTGTTAGCATCCGGGTAATTTAAATAAAAATTCGGTTTTAACGTGTATCTATCTCTCTGCATTTCCATTCAACAGTCGTAGGTTTCCATGGCAGAGATATGAATAGGAAAACCCAAAATAGACGGTGGCTGGCAATTAAAATTAGAATTCACCAAAAATGTATATTTAGGCGCGCTTAATTATGACCCTACACCGCGACCCAGGAGCATAATGAAGGTATTGAAAAGGCGTTGACATGCAACCGATAATTAAATTCCGAGACTCGACAATGAGAGGCACACTGGGCCAGTTCCCACATAATAAGGATTTAGCAATAAAACTCTTGCATACTATATATGTAAATTCAGTGAACTGGTAGAGCGGCCTCCAGGGACTGGTGGTGTGAACTCCGGGGTCTGGGATCGGGGATCGAGATCTGGGACCTGGATCTGATCGCTAATGCCGTGCCCGTGCATCTTGAGCGGGACTGTGCCGTTAGTTTGCCGAGCGGGAAACGTGCACCCGCACATAATGCGCCAGAATAGCAACTAAAGTGTCAACTTTTTGGGCTGTAAATATTGGATGAACCCCTCTCTCTCTCTGTCTCACCCTACTGCCATTTGCTTTCTAATTTGGGCACACGCTCCTCGGAAAGAGGAAACAACAAAGGGGAAGTAGAAACAGAGGGTGGAGGGGGAAAACTCTAACAGCATTTCCGTTTTTCACACAGGCATTTGAAAAGCAATTTTTCAAAATTGAAATTCATTTCGTATATGACTGTCTATATCCATTATTTTCCTATCGCACACCCGTTATCAGTGACAGAGGATCAGCGAATGAGATCGTTTGACAGCGATAACACAGGGTACCGGGAAAAACCCAGCAAGTGTTGAAAATAACCCAAAATTTTGGGGTGACAATTGTATGGTTTAAGGGCGGGAGGAATGCTATTCCACAGACTCAACTTATCTTAAAATTAGTTCTAGCTTTTGGACATCTCTATCGAAGCTCTGGAATCAAATTAATCCAGAGCCACCCTGCTGAAAGAGTATTGTATCTGCAGATTGACTTGGCAATAAACTACACAGCCGCCACAATATTTTCCGAGCCACCGCAATCGTCTTAGTCATCCAGCCAACCCCACTCCAGCTACCCCTTTCGACCAGGCCAAACCAACTTGCCAGCGAGGCTTCCAACAATATCCCATTGAAAAGAAGCCTGCTCCATCATCATCCATGGCCATCCATCCCCACTCCGGCTGGCCGGTCTCTCTTGGTAACTCCAAACAATGAACTCATAACTCAAGTGACACTTTTTAACTTGACTGCATTTCATCATGTGGTACGTCTTGGATCCGCCCGTCTTCGTCTCAACTTCTCGGCTCTTTTCTTGTTTCGTCCAACAATATTCAAATTGAGTTTTCCAGTGCAACTGAGAGAGTTCCCCACCGCCCGACTACTACAACTCCACCACTGCCTCCTCCTCAGTCTGCGACTGTAGTCATCCATCGTTGGAAAGTTTTTTGTTGCCTGGTATTTGTTAGTTGATAAAAGGCCAAGCCATTATATGCATGGCCGGGCTGCACAATTTGAAGTGGGTAAAATTTGTATGCATGTGGCTGCCATGACAACGCCCCAACGTCCAACTACGACCCCACTCCATATTCAGTTCTAAACTCCATCACCATCGCCATCGCCATCTACATCTCCAACTCCGACTGCGACCTTTCAATTCAAACAAGAAACAGGGATTCTTTTTCAAATTGTCATTGCCTGGGCTGGGTCCTTCAAAGAATTCTTGGCTTTCTTTTTAACGTGCAGCGTCGTTCGAGTTGAGATTCTGTTGTCTCATGTCGCTGGGGCTTGTCAACCTGCCGGCCCAGTGGTTCCTCACTCTCACACTTCCCAGAGCACCATGGCTATGTTTCGGATTCGGATTCTGATCCCCGGGTATCGACTCCACGGCAGACAAGTGCAATGAACCGCGTTTGTCTTCCTCCATTGCAGGCTGCGGCGTTGATTTATGTTACATCTTCTATGGTTACATTGGCTCTTTCGATCCCATCCTCGCTCGCCCCGATTTTCGCCATTAAGCGCAGCTCATATGTTACCGAAAGGTATATATATATATGGTGGCAGGGGCGGGAGAGTATCACACGTGAAATGATTTATTAGCGGTAATTGGTGTCACAGTGTTCCAAAGAAAAGGAAAGGATTCTCATCCCTCTGGCATCCCGCATTCCATGGAGTGACTTCTCCTCGGTTGCCAGGCACCCGTTGTTTCTCTCTTTTAATTATCTTGATTTTAAACTTATTAAAATTGACAAATGATTTTCGTAGACAACGCTGTGGTGGCTCGCAGGAAACAGGTTGTCAATGGCTGCTTCTCAGAATCCAGAGAGTTGATAAATCACGGAATGTGCCAGCCAAGTTAACTCTTTCCTTTCCTTATCTCTGACTGGTAGTTCTTGGCCTATCATTCTGGGCTTCACGAGAGATTTCTTTTCTGAGCTGGGTTTTTGGGCTAGGTAAGGGTCATTTAAGATGACACACCTGGTTATGTAATGATTGGTATGCTGATTAGATATTCAATAGAAGCTTCTCTATTAAAAAGGGTTATATGAAGAATATATCTCTGCTTGCTTTAGTGCAACTTGAACATCTTTATTTCACAACATTCACCCGAGAAGTGCAAATCAGTTAAACAACTTTTTAAGGACAAATTAGAGCCTAATGATGTCCTGGCATGGCCTTGTGCTCCTTTAGGCACATGGTAACCTTGAAAGCTGTGTCACAATCGTTGGTTCCCTTGATGTCCTTGCAGGCATTCACACCCGAGGTAATCTCATCCATCTTGTCCTTGATCTGCGGCACATTCTTGAGGGTGTCGAGCAGAGCCTGGGCATTGAACTGGCCATTGACTAGGTGGCCCTGTTTCTCCATCAGGCACTTGGTATAGCACTTGAGGTTCTCCTTGGCATTGCTCTGCATGCCGCTGGCCATGAACTCCTTGAGATCGGCTTCGGTCACTTGGGTGGATTGCATGCACTGTTGCATTATCTGCCGGAAGTCCGGATCGCACTGGGAGAAAGATATCCATGGTTAAAAATAGTATAAAAGGCGGAGATACGGGGTGTGAAATCCTTTTACCTGACCCATGGCCAAAAGAACAGCCAGAGCAACGCAGAATAGGATGAACTTCATTTTGAGGGGTTTGGTATTTTGGGTTTAAGCTTTTCCGGATTCACTTGAAAGCCTCGACTGTTGGCCATTTGCTGGAAATCTGCGGCTTATATACCAGATCAGAGGGAATGCAATTATGGCAATTAAACTTTTTTGCGAGATGAATCAGAATTTGATTACGCACAATACAGACAATTACTCCACAATAGAATTTCCCTTTTTCGATTGTAATTATTCTCCATTATCAGTCCATTTGCAGATTTAGGACGAGAGGGGAAGTTGGGCTGACTAACAGCTTGCTACACAAATCAGCAAAGTTAGTCGCAATTAGTTGCCGGGCCCCACAACACAAATCAATTATTCATTTATTGTATTTAAATGCGGTCAGAGTTTGACAATTTTCGGCCTTTGTTTTGGCCATTCACACTTGGCCAATTGATTTGCATTTGGCATTTGTTCTGGCCAGGCCCTGCCATTGCCGAATCCCCCAATTGATATTTCAGAAGGCTTTTAATCTAGCCGTGATTATGGCCATATTTCCGAGTCTGCTGATGACACCAGGCGAAGGTCGGAGCTCTGAATAATTTACCAAATTAGCAGAGCTCTCGACACCAATTTAATGCCAAAATGTTACTCATAAATTTCACAATTTGTAAAGCATACAATGCTAAAATCGAAAAATTCATTACTATTAGCAAAGTAATTACAATTTTGTTTAACTAGATTAACTTGCCATTGACAAAAGTGTATTTCATTTGCTTTTCAAAGCTTTCATCGATTATATCTATAAATATTTAAGTTTTCTGCTGGTCATCCCTAAATTAATGTCAAATTACATGCAATAGATTTAAAAATAGCAGGAAACATTCATTAACACACGAGGCTTTAAAAAATAAAACAATTTATTCGTAGCCCGACAGCTATCACTGCCTTGAAAGGTGATCTATATATCTTCCCATTCATCTGCAGACGTTTTAATCGAAGTTACAGATTGCCCAAGTCCGCTACCGACTATCCATAACAATTAAACATCCATCAGGTATCCCCTCCCCAACTCCTCCTCTTCAATGATACAACAAACATTTGTTTGCCCTGGTATATAGATATAAAATAACTTGCATAATTCCTGGGCAAATTCAAATCAATAGACAAACAATAAGCTCGAGTTCGTAGGGGCCAACTGCCATTTACAGGGCTGAGGAAGCCATGTTGACAGCACAAATAATTTATGCCTTTGTTATAAAGAGGAGGCCATGCAGGAGCACCTGGCCAAGTCGGAACCGGAGCCTGGCCACGCCCACTTGTCGTCCTGTGTGCCCCTCAATGTAGTAAGGCTTGGGTTTTTCGTTTTTCGGTTCTTCGCCAAAGAAACAAAACGAGGACGATTCCAAAAGTCTCAAGCGAGCGAAGTGGTTGACAAAAGGCCGGAGAGGAGTCGTCGGCGAATTGGCTGCCCTGGTTGTCATTAGTCAGGCAGGATAAGCAAAGGACATGGCCATAAAAAGGGCAATGCGAGGCGCCCGACCAGGCAGGACACTTGCACAGACACAAGGTGTGTCCTGTGAATGAATTGCTGAGTAACCAATAATGAAGTAAAACTGTTCAAGTCCTGAATGTGTCATTGTGGTATGGGATAAACTGGGTGGTAGCAGCAGTGGTAGTGGCAGTGGCAAGACTGGGTGGCAGACGACAACCGAACACAATTCACTGTCAGTTGCATTGTTTTGACCTGATTTACATGCCCCAACCAACCATCTAGCTAGCCAGCTATCCAGGCAGCTCAACTGATATTAGGAATGGCTGAAGACCGTTCGGTGGACTTTTATAAATTACAAAGGCCACCGCACAAAAGGCTATAGATGTTAGGATGCCTGGCTCGGCTACAGATGGCTTTCCCTCTTCTGTATCCTTTCCCACTTTTCCTGACTTTCTCTCCTGCTTTTCCTGCCTTTCCTTCTGCTCCTTCTGCTCTTCCAGGCAGCAGACGACAACGATGACAGGACGAAACAAAGGCCAACGTTAATGAGCCAAGAGAATGGCGCTAGCCGTAACAAACGTGGCTAAATAAAGAGCGGGGCAAATTGTAAGAAAGCAGAACTGTGTCACAATGTTTTGACAGGAGTGTGGGGGTAGGAAAAAGGAGTCCAGGAGTTCCTGGCCGACTAGCCAGAGGAATGGAAATGGCACAGGACAACACAGGACAACTCAGCTAGTTAAGCGGCCAAAGACAAAGTTGATAAAATTAGATTTGTATGGTAAATAGTTTGTGGGATGGCGGCTAGGAACTGGCAACTGGCGAGGGGCAAAGTTTAATAAATGTATAAAATTAATTAGCCAGTTGAATGCTCATTAACAGCTGGCAACGGGCGGCTCAAACTCTGACAACTCTGTTTTGGTAGCCTCCTGCTGGTTTTCCGGACTTTAAGGCCAAGCTTTAAGCCAGGTTGGTTGGAAAAATGAAGGGGTCTCTCGGAGGTTTTGGGTTCTCCGGGTTAGTGGCTGGGGCAGCTGCTGTCAAGCTGCTTCAATTAATTCCCAGCAGCAGCAGTCAGTCAGTCAATGAATTGTGCCGCTTTCCATCTGTTTTGGCATTTTCACACCTCCCATCCAGAAATTTCCCTTCAAACTCGCATTCGATCACCCGCTGAGCTGGAAAATGGGGAAAAAAGGAAAAGTGAAATACCCCAAAATATGAATGTTGACCTTTCACAATTGCAAGCCGCATGAGTTCTTTGTTTGCTGCAACTTGCGTTTTACGGTTTTCGGGTTTCGGGTTTTTGGGTTTTGAATGATGCACCAGCGGTTGTGCGTTGACCACAAAAGCCAAGGGTCCGAGCAAGGGCACGAGGGGGGAAAATGCAGAGTTTACGAAATCAAAATATATTTCGGACATTGTGGTAAAGTAATTGGATTTTGAGGCATTTATTATAATATTGAAAATTTGTGTGGGTATGGGTGGGTATTTTCGGGGCACAACAAAGGCAGTTGAGAGATTGCATATAACCAGAGGGAAACCAATGAAAATTTGGAAATAAATCCAGTGAAATATAACTGGTACAGGACCTAAATCAATTTCACACAATGTGGCTATGGAAATCCAGATTACTTTACTAAAAATCAAAAATATTATAAAAACAGAATGTTATGTACATTAAAGTTAATGGGATTTTCCTACAGAAAACCTTTTTTGTCCAGTAAAAAGAGTACTTCCTTTAAGTTTCCTTCCTTTTAATGACCTTAAAACGAAGTCCTTTTCCGTAAACACTTTTCAAGTGCTAAAGCTTTCGGTCTGACTGCTCTATTGGATGGGAAATTTGTGTAATTTGCACTCGTCTTTATTTTGGACAGCTATAATTGGAAACGGGATTCACGGCCCTTCAGTTCCATGGCCAATCAACTCCCCAAAGACACCACCATACACCCCCCACCATACACACATTCCGAAAGCAGATGAGATGCAGGGAAAAAATTCAAAATGCGAGAGCACTGAGTTATTGAAATTAAACATCAAATGTCACAGCCAGTTACCAGCGCAGGCCAATTCGCTGTCTTCGCATTGTGGCAGTGAAAAGAGGACGCGCAACGCACAAAAGCACAAAGGTCCTTCCACATGCACCAAGAAACCAGCGGGCTGGGGAAGTTCTTTTTCGGTGAAAAAAATGGCTGGCTGACAAGTTGCCAAAGAGCGAGGAATTCGAATTTGTGTGGAAGTTTTTGGCAAAAATAAAGTCGAGGCAGACGCCGCCGAAGACAATTGCCCGAGCAAATGAAATCAAGCACAAGCAGCTCAAGGATGTAAGGCTAAAAAGGAGCATGTGAAGTTGCGGGTGAGGGGGTTCTAAATACGTTCCCCTCGCCATCTCCTTCTCATCTTTTACACACAAATACAATTTACATGCGCCAGAGGCGGGTGCAAAAGGGGATTTGGAGTAGGAGGAAAGGACAGCAGGCCATGCAGAGTGCGTCTCTGTGACATGTCCTTAGGATATTTGTATGCAAACAGGGCACAATGCGCTGAAATCGATATGCGGGCGCGCGGCTCTTCTTCTCTCATCTCCTCTCCAATCCTCTACATCGCATTTTCGAAGGACTCAGTCGAAGGCGGCTGCAGCTGAACTGGCGGGCGGCTTAGACACTCCGCTTCCATCTCTGCTTCCATCTCCATCTGCGTCTTGGCCTGGCAGTTGACAGCCATGTGCAGCGGCGCAATGAAATGAAAAATGGTGAGAAGGAGACGGCGACGGCAACGGCGACAACGCCTGCAGCTTCAAACTCGCATAATAACACTGAGAAAAAAAGGTAGTGAAAGAGAAAAGTGCTATCAAGAATAATACCCTTTAAAACAGCTTCTAATAAGTATCTAAAAATCAGTTAATAAAGAGGTAAAATCATTTATAAATCATCCTTCAAGTATTTTCTCTCAGTGCACTCCCAGTGTGAGAGCCCGCGGCGACATCGATGGCCTGCTGACAAGCCCTTCGTCGCACTCGTGTGCGTGTGTGTTCATCTGTATATGGATATGGAATCGGGATGGGTGAGACTGATATGTGATATTAGTTTGATCTATTGTGATTTCATGCAGGGATGCAGAGCACTTACGAAATGGAAATCAGCCCGCAAAAGCCACCAGAAAATTGCTAAATTGAAGATTATTAAATGGAGCTTAGACTCCGGGCATGGACGAGAACTCAAAAAGGCAAAGTCAAGTACACATTCAAATGGCAATTTCCAACTATTATCAATCATTTTTCCTCATTTTCATTTGATGGACTTACCAATAAGTGCATTTAATAACAGCTGTGCAGGTTGAACGACCTAATAATGGATTTTCACCCAGAATTCCTGATGCCTTCCATCAATTTCAATAAGGAACATGAATTTGCCATTTTGCCACATTGCAACACTTGGGAATTCTAAAGGGGCAGAGTTGCTTGCGTCATTTTTGGAAAACTCTTGAGCCATCCCTGGTTCTTTTCGCTGCCTGATTATATCACACAGGCCCTGTTGTTGCTTGATTTGTTTTGCACACATTACCGTCTGATTGTCTAAGCCACGTATTGCTGCTCTTTTGCCCCAAAAAGAAGCAGAGAACCCCGAACCCTCCCGCATTTTGTGCCACCAAGTTCGTCGTTATGCTGGTGCGTCACTGGCTGGCTTCCTTTCGATTGTGCAACTTTGATAAGCAATTTTGAACGTCGTCCCCGGGATTCGAAGTGCGTGTGTCGCCAACACGCAGATGCCAATGCCAATTGCGAGGCCATCCCCTCCGATAGCCATCAAATTAAGGCCGCCCAAATCAATGCAGATTCGGCTAAAGATACCAGGATACTGGTTTGGGATGATCAGAAAGAAAAAAAGAGACTCTGAGCCTTCTCTTCTGCCGGTACCATCTCATTGTTTTAAGAGCCTAATTGCCAGGCTGTTGTTCAGCTTGTTCTTGGCCGCAGGACAGGTGCAAATGGTTATGAAAGGTGCCCTTTGCGTAACCCCCAGTACGGCATTGAAATGCAAATGAAAACTTTAAAATATGCCGTAGTTGGAGTTCAGTTACATGGCTGTAAAAGATGTTTTCCTTCGCTCCCTGCGCCATGTTTTTATTGTATTTTTGGCTCTACAGTAGCAAATTGGTTACAAACACAGCTGTCGACCCTTACGTGGCCATAAAGTACAAGACAAAGGGTTTTTTCACTCGAGCCCCCCAAAAAGAATGAATCGTTAGAAAAAGGGGCAGGGTCAGCACACGTGACCACCGTCGACGAGCTAAGCCAGGTCAATAATGCGGTAGCTAAACGTAAGGAATTTTGGGTCCGCATATGTGTGGTCAAATTAAAGGGGTTCGGAAAGGATATCTTTCCTCATTTATCTATGCTAGAGATATGCTAGAAAGGAGAGATATAGTTTGGAAGTTGAGAAATGCTAACTATTCTGATGGCATTCCAACCTCCATGGGCAATATCATTCCATAGCTTTCATAGCTTTATCAGACACCTGAATTATTTGTTTTCATTAGCCGAATGTTGTTTGCCCTCCTCTATGGCTATCGATTTGGCGAAACACAGAGCCGAATATAAATATTCACCAAACAGTTGTTGAAATGCAACAGACAACTCTATTGAGACCCCCTACCCCTCTTGCAGAAGGGGCATCCCCCCTTGAAACATCTGTTTGCGGCATACATATGTATACTGTACTAGTGGTACTGGTACTGGTACTGGTACATTCATCAACATTTCCTGGGGGCCCCCGAGAGTGGTGAGAGACCCTTCTCCAGGTCTCTGTGAGCTGGGAGCTGGTCTCTGGAGCTGATTGCGATTGCGAATTGCAAATCGATACGGGTATGGGGCCGGCAAAACGTAAAAACCGCACGGTAGGAAATTTGAATAAAATGCAATAAGACAAACACATGTATGATAATTCAAGCCGGGGCATCAGCATCAACAACAATGCACTCCCCTACTGTCGGCACTTTCGACTGCCCTTCCCGCATTCGCATCCCCATGTATATATATCTAGGTAGATCGGTTGCTATACATATATATATACTCCTCGTATATGTTAATTTATAGGTGTGTGTATATGGAGTGTATGCTAAAATAACCAACGCAGCTCGTGCGTGTAAACTCGTGATGATGATACACTAAAAACTACGCTGCTAAACAACCAAACCACAAAATACATCAAAATGATGCGGTTGCAAACTGATGCAAAAACAAGTTCTGAAGTGCCAGTACCCCGTAGCCAGCCCCTTAACCACCCTCCCTCCTTAACCCCTTTAAAGCCAAGTAAATCAGGGCAAAGGAGAGGGGCTAAACAGGGAAGGACTCCATGCATGGTACAATGAACCACTGTCGAAGTGGTTGACTGTTCAAGTGCCTTCAGAGTTCGGTGCAAAAAGTTAGACAAATGTATCTGGGAATAGTTGGCGATAACAGGCTAAGTTGGGCCATCTATTAAGCTGAATATTCTGACCAGCAGGGAGAACTTTAATAAAAACTGAAACTGAATTATGTTTGATATAATGAAGCACCTTTAAGTCTTGTTCAAAGTAAACTACCCCCTTAAATAGTGATGGACAAAATCTGTTTAATTAGACAATCCTAATATATGATCCTTATCTCAATATCTGTTCTTTCTAAGAGACTTTATAATATCCTAAACACCTTAACATAAAGCCAACAATACCCCCTCGTGAAATGCTTTCTGGCCACTTACGCAATTCTGGGAGTTTGAAAACCTTTGGGGGTTTGGCAGTGAACTGGCAAATGCAACTGTCTGACCTTACGGGCTGTAAATTATGCATAGATGCATAATTTATAACTTATGCGTGGCTCGGCCAACCCCCGAAACATTTTGCCAGGGCAACGGAGACGCAAAAGGACTAAGAGACGGAGGAGACGGAGCCGGAGCCGGAGCCGGAGACATAGACAGATGCACAGACAATGATTAGGGCCACACACAAACCTATTATTAACGTTGCAGGCCCTGTCCACTCGGGTGGACAATTGCAATTGCTTGGCAGTAATTTTCAATTTAATTATAGTAATACACCCTCACACTCATAGTCATAGAAGGAGAGAAGGGAAGAAGGGGAGGGTTGGCTAAGTGCAGATTTGAACGCATTTGCACTTGAGCCAAGTTTTATGGCCTGACTTTGCCGAGAGAATTCTGAGGGATATGTTCGCCGGGGCGTAAATCAAATGCAAATGTCCAGGGCCATAGTGCAATGACAGTAGTACGAGTATTGTGTCCTGTCCTGTCCGCTTGTCTGCGGCTTGCATTTCGCCGAATTAATTATGAGGGAAGAAGAGAGGATTTTCGGGGTAACAGCGCACTTAAGCGAATGTCTCCAGAATATCCACACCTTACACCCAACCCACCCCACCATCCCAATCGCATCTTTGACTTTGGCATTAGTTTCATAGTTTCAGGCAGGTCAACTTTTCGCACGTAGCCCCTGGCCGAGAACATATCGAAATCTGCAATCAAGGTGAGCAGGGAGCAAAATTATGCTCACGTAGGTAGTACGTGCTGTTGATTTGATGGTCAGTTAATTATTATTTTTTGTGTTTATAGAGTTGCGGCAAAACACGAACTTGACTGCCGACACCCGTTCGAGTTCGAAACAGAAATCGTTCTTTTAGCCGCGGAATTATGCTCTGGCTAGTGTCTGATCTTGTGGCTGGAACAGCTAAGATTGTGGCGGTACATGCTGGGTTACCAAGTGTCTCAGCCCCATAAAAGTGACTGGAAATGAGTAGATCAAGGTACGCCAGAAGATAAAGAACGCTGTGAGTTAAATAACAAGCAGGTAAAAATAGTTTTCAGTTATCTACAAAATCTGAAATGTGGGGATATTAAATATTGAAAACTTTTAAGGTTCTTCCTAGAAGTTTGTGATATGTCACTAAATCTTTCTTATATCATAAGTATCAACTTAGCAAGAGTATACTTGGCAGATTCCCTTAACACCTCGATTATAATTCAGCACTGCCCTCCGAACTATCCCAATCCTTAACCCCTTAATTACGCCGCATTACAGCATACTGAAATAATTTCCGCATATGATGAAGAAAGTTTTTACCACGCCGGACTAATGTTAATTATCGCCGGACCGGCAGGACCTAATCCATGGCTGAGCCTGGGCCAATGTTATTCCCATTGAGCCGCAGATTGATGCCGCCAAATTAGTTTGATGGGTTCGGGAGCGGCTCCTCTGTGAGAGTGTTAAGGTTATACAGCCCAGCTCCGGCAATGTCGTGTTGTAATCAGAGAGAGAGAGGGCAGTGAAGTCGGCCAAATCGCTGGCGAATTTCCGATGGCCAGGGCCAATATTAATCAATTCTATGTGGAGCGCAATGGTCCGCCGCCACTGAAGGCAGCTCAATCCCTAACTGGTTATCCTCCAACGGCAACATCAACAACAACAACATCAAGTCGAAACTCATTTCGTGTTGCGACTTTTGATTATGATGATTATTACGCGTAATCGCCGCTACATGTGCTACATGCAGCGCCAATGCCCATCCCCAGTCTCCTCTTCTTCCCCATCCTCGGAGCTTATTGATGAGGTACGAAGCTGGCATAGCCCCCTGGCCGAAAGTGCCCGGGACACCTGTGTGTATATTATTATTACACATCGGGCATGGGCGGTGGAGGGTGGGTGAATATAAGAAGGGGAAAGGGCACGGGCACGGGCATGGGCAATGGGAATTGGACTGGGAATGGGTACAAGTTCGAGCCGCAGCACGGGAATGGCCAGACGAATTTAAGCGAGATACACACGATGACGCTGTAAGTGAACACTAATGTGGGTCCAGGGCATTCGACAGACGCGGTCAGTTGAATAAGGAAAGCAATGTTAAAATATAAACCTGAGAAGTTGTGCAAAAAGACAAATTCACTAAGTACCAAATCAGGGTCCCAAGATTTCAAAGAAATATTCCAACTTTTCATTAGAAATATTATCCAAGCTCCTATTAACTGTATCTCAACTGTCCTTCCAAACGGCGACTGCTTACATGCAAGCTCGCAGGCTGGCTGACGTAACAACAAGTTAACAAGATAATGACAGTAGCGGCGGCTCACCGGACGAATCGACCGGGGCTAGCCCCAAGTCCGTGGAACGAAGTCATCGTCTTCGTGGTCGTGGTCTTGGCCCCCTCGTCCCTAGTTTTGGCCATGAAACGTCGGTCCCGCTCTGTTATTTAGTGGAGGTAGGTGTGGACCAACTCTGGGCGTGTGTGTGTGCCTGTGTGTGTGTGAGCCGGCTTTGAGTGACGGGCCGTGAGCATAAGTGACTGATGGCCGGCGACGTCCAGGGACCGGCCCCCTTCTTTCTTTCTTTCTGCCGGCCAAAGACCATAATCAAGTATGCTAAAAAGACGCGCTAACCAAAAAGGAAATTGAAATGAAATATCTGCGTACAAACTAGTACACAGAGAGAAATTATATGGGTTAGTTAGTGCGTTTTTCATTTTATTTAGAACAAAGGCTTAAAAGTTAAAGGCAGGTGTTAAAAGTATTTAAGCAACGGCTTGTAGATCGAAAGGCCTGAAGGTTTATCTTCAAAGGGGGTCCTGCACATAAAGCATTCTTTTCAAGACCTTTTGAAAAGCTTTTAAAACTCTATAGATTTCTCCCTGTGCACCTGTGTGAATGTGTTTCTTGTAGTATGGGTGACCGCGTTGAATCGTTCGCGTTCACTCTTTTGTGGTATTTCGCACCTGGAGCGGCGCTCGGCATGTTGAGCACACCGTCGTTAACACTTGAAGCATTCCCCTACTTCTGCTGCTCCACCCTGCCTGCCCCCCTTCTGCCCCAACCCTGCCAGTTGGCCAAGTTGAACGGCTGCTGCTGCCTGTTTCGTGCTTCTTGTTCTTGTTGCTGACGCTGTTGCATTGCCAACAAGCTCATTAGTTTCATAATTAGCTTTCGTTATGCTCTTCGTGTATTAATTAGAAGTTATTGCTGCGTCCAGGCGCCGGACACGGAACCCACTCAACACTCAGCCCTCAGAAAAGTTGATGGAGTGGGAGGTCAACTGCAACGGCAAGAAAGAACCCTTTCCATCGGCAAGGCCCCACCCAAACCCCTTATTTTCCAGCTGGTTCGTTGCATTTTAAATCGCTTATCAAGCGGGTTTTCCTCTCGTCAGCCTGTTTTTTCATCTTTTTTTTTTTTTGCCTGTCTTTGTTCTTTGGTCTGTTTTTTTTTTTTGCCTTTTTGTTTTTCTGCAGCTAATGCAGAGATAATGATGCTGTGGCTTTGATCGATTTGATAACAATTTAATTTCGAGTGCACGCTCAAGGTTTTTGCCCCATTATTAAATCTTTTTTACTGCGGGTATTAAGCGGCATTGCGATGTGGTGTGCGAGGCACGTAGGCAGATTAGCCGTTTGACGATGGATGGCTGAGATTGCATTCGCGAGTGCATTACATATTTGGTTAGATAATGGCAAATGGCTCATGGTGGCTCACTGTGATGAGACTCTTTCTATCTCTGCACAATAGGAAACTATCCATGTCCGTAAAAGGCTGAAATAAAGCCATCGTGTGCTGTTGAGAATTATAAGGCGTCTGTCTGTCAAGTCCAAGGAAAGCGTGAGTGTGAATCAAATGAACTCGTTCTGACCAAATATGGACTTCATTCTTTAGAAGGCTTATCACACCCCTGATTTATCCATAAGTGCTGTGCTGAAGCTATAATAGAAATGTTTAACGATCATTAATAAAGTTATTCACCTTTTCTCTATTATTTGCAATAGCTTTTATTTCTTGGTATAACCTAATAACTTTAACTTAACTTTTAGTTTACTCTTTTTAGTTTCATTTTAAAAAGTTAATTTAAGAATCTATTAGTCTTCAGCTTGTTTAAAATGTTCAAAATGTAATCTCCCAATAATGTTACAGTGAATAACAATTAGCCACAGACTTTCCCGAGGCTCACCATTATTAATCTTACCGTTGATTGATGCTTCAGCCCAGGGTCGTAGCCCGTTCAATTTCTCGCAAATCTCGCATAATAAACACAACATATCAGCAATGAAAGCTTGGCGAGAGAGGGGCTGACAAACAAACAATGAAAAACGAAGCAAAAGCGGCAAAAAATGCTGAGTAAACCTTATTAAAAAGGGATAACGGCGCACGAGCAGCGCTAATGACAACGCTCATGGACACGGACAGGAGGTTGGGTTCGGTTTTCGCAGATCGGGTTGGGTTGAATAAACGAATACATATATATAGATGGATGGATGGGAGTTGGTGCAAACACACACGTCACTCAGCCACGACATCCTTCCGGCGCGGTCTGGTCCTGGGCTTAACGCTGTTAATGACCAAGGGCAACAGAGGTATAGCCCTCTCAACCTCGGCCGAGAAATATCGCTCCTTTCTCATTTCACCACCCATCTACCCAATCTCTGAGCGATTTCATTACGTGTGCTCATGAGCAATTGATGCTGCAATGTCATACGTCAGCAGAAGGTGAGCCAAATCAGTACTGCGACTGCGAAAGGGTTGTCCTGATAAAAACACTGAGAGAAATGTGTGTATAAATATAGATATAGATTTCAAATATATCTTGTGTTTTGCTTAAATAAGGAATTTCATTAGAATTATTATGAACCAAAAACTCAGGTGCGTGAGACATTGTTTTAGGTTTGTATTTTTAATTTCCCAATATCTCAACATTAATTAAACATTTTTGCTGTGCACCCATCAGCAGGATTTAAAACCTGAAAACGTTGCCGAACAGCAAATCATGTAATCTGTATGGATTTCCACCGTTTGACCTCTGTACCGTGGCTCATGACCCTGTGGGACAGTGTTCTTTTCAATAACGTGTAAAAAACTGCTGCATAATGTTTATTTGCCCGAGCCGACAAAATTTATGAGTTCCTGGACGTCGTCTGTCGGGGGTATTAAAAAACTTTTGCTCAAGAAAATCAAGTCCAAAGGGTTGGAAGGAAAAGGGACTCGGAACATGGAAAATGGGACTCGGGATGGCATCCCTGCTGCGGATAAATCTGCGTGGCCAATGCAACTTAATTAAATTCCGAAATACTTTCGCTGCCCGGGAATTATGATGCAAAATGTTTTGCCGTTAATTACAAAATTGTAAAACGCAAAGTTCAAACTGCAATTTGTATTCATTTGTAAGCCGCCGCTGCCACTGCCACTGCCACAGCCATTGCCATTAAAATGGGTAAGCCCCCATGGCGAAATTATAAATTAATGCGGGCGGGCGGCGGTTTTTTGGGTTGGCAGCTGTCTGTTGTCCCTCTATCACGGCGGACACCTCGGTGAAGGGCCACGCCCAGTATGCCTTCTCATACCACCGCAAAGGCAGGCACATAATTTAAATGCATTTCCTTCTGCGCATTAATTTCCTAAGCTTTTTGCATACGAAAAATCCCACACAAAACTGCGTTCAATGTAATCCCATGAGCTTTAAAGTCACGTGTATGCCCGCCGCCTCTGGCAATTTTGTTGTTGTTCACCCCAACCCGCAGTTCTGGTTGAGGGGGCGTGGCACGCACAATAAAAGCTGGCTGGGATTTGTTGCTGTATTCGCAAGTAATAAATGTATTTGTTTATCCCACTCTAATTTTTACTGCAACCTGAAAATATTCCACGAACAAAATAAAATAAAAATGAAAGGAAGAGCGAATGAGTGGAGCCCCATAGACTGTGTGTGTGCTCCTCTATTTGCTTTTCAGACCGCTTTCTGTGACATGATTGTATTCCGTAAATGGCACACAAGACAGCAGAGCCTCCGTTGTAGGGAGGCTTTTGACTGTATTTCTTGGCATAGCAAAATAAACATTTTTGACCCTTCCGTCATATAAATGCAACCACTGTGCAACAGTTCCCGTACTTTCTTTAATACCTTTCTTTAATTTATATAGGATTAAATTGAGCCACTCATACTCATGTTCATCAGTACAAGTTTTTAGAAGACTAAGCTATTTAAAAGCATCAAAATAAATTTGCTTCACCCAATTCATTCATTCTATTTATAAGAATTATAATAAAACATAGTATCATAAATAAGCGTATAAATTCTACCAATTAAAATATTTTTTATACGCCAGCTTTACAGAAAATCTAAAAATAACCACAAGGTAAGCACGTGGAAATTCGAAAAAGTGTAACGCATTAGCGAAAACTCGTTTTATAAATAAATGTATCAAAAGAACCTCTGTGTCAAGCAACACAAACATAATCCTCCCTACAGAGGCGGCTATGTACTCTTCATGCATATTGACATTCCGATACACATGGCCCGGCTAGCTCAGTCGGTAGAGCATGAGACTCTTAATCTCAGGGTCGTGGGTTCGAGCCCCACGTTGGGCGCAAACAAACTTTTTGCTATTTATTTATTTTATCATAAAAGATATTGTCTTTCAGATCAGAAATTTAAATTAAACTAGCTCAGCATTTACTATTGTATTCTTGAGTATCAAATTTCACTTTTTATTATTTATGTTTAATTCATATTTGAATTTGGTATTGACTGTAAATCTCTTGTTGTATTTCTTTTTATTATTCAAATAAAAGAAAGGCTTAATTCATATTCCGGTTTGCTTTCGAAATTAGCTTAACAAAATCATAAACTCTTCTCAGCTAGACATTTTGTCTACTCATTTCGGAAATTCCTCAGTTTCATTCATCAGCACATCTTGCCGGCCAAGCCCTGTCAGAAATATCATTACATTTCGGTTCCGTTTCTCACAGAAGAACATACACGGCATTCCATGCGTAGAAAAATGGTTATTCATAATCATTTGTTACGCTTAATTGTTGTCTTTGCGGTTTACCTCATGGCTGCTTTTGTGTGCTGACCGCAAATTGATTTTAAATTCATTTCTCAGTCTCGGCCTGTGGGGCGGCAAAAACACAAAAGCCCAAATGCCGAAACGGGTACTCTGGGTCTGAGAATTTTTGATTATTGTCATTATTGAGTCAAAACTAGAGTTAAAGAAACGTTTGAAAATGAATTATGTGTGGCATAAGAATAATTTTCCCACCATGACCATGAAATCTACGACTCAACTTTCGGCTCTACAGCTTCCCTCGTTTATGACTATTTGCTGTTTATTTTTTGTGAAATTTAAATCCGCACGCGTTCTCTCCTTCGGTCTCACTGGTTTATTATCCTTTTGCCGGCACTTTTTTATGAGTTAAGCCAGACGCGGCTTATCTATGTGACAATGCGGTAGGCACCACCAGCGAAATGGTAATGGCTTTCGGGGAGTGTGTGGTGCGGCAACGCCTTTATTGCCAGGCCTACCGACTCAGCTCAACCCAACCCAACCAGGACATGCCGTCGCCGTCACCGTCGCCCTTCGTTTCATTCATAAATAAATTAAATAAAAATATTTTTTCAAGCCCGCAAGCCATGCAACAATAACAAATAAGCGGAGCGGGGATAAAGAACTCGGCGAAACTCAACCGGCGGCAAGAAATCTGCATAATGAAGCGTAATACGCAAATGGTGTGGAGTTGTGATTGGACCGGAATCCGCAAATTGAGGTAGGCGGAAGGTGAAGGAGTGCAGAGTTTAATAACGCTGATGGGTTGCTTTATATCCGCGCCTAAATCGGCGAGCTTAAACGATGTGAAAGAACCTTCTCATGCTGTCTTCTGAAGACTTAAATAGGAAAAAGTACGGTATAGTTTATATAAATCAAAAGCATTTTCTACAGACACTTCCTTATAGGTTTATTGAAAAGAAAAGCAGTAAGGCTGAGAAATATATCACCTTTATTAACTATAATTTCACAAACATGTGATCTTAACACCCCAAAGCCTATTAATCTACTGCTGTGTCCCCATACTTTGTTTATATTCAAAGCATCCTCCTTTCAATTTTCTTTTTATGTGCCACACATAAAGCCAAACTCGTTTAATAAAAAGAGTTTATAATTCTCTTTATAGATCCGCAACAAGCGCATATTTCAATAATGGCCATCGAAAGCCAAGTCCTTGGAATCGAGCACCCCTGAAGTTATTAAAAGATTTGTGGCGCTTAGAGGCAGAGGTCAAGGGGAACCACCCCGGATGAATGAATCAGGAACTCAGGAACTCCCCCACTTTTCAAATCCATTGGCGATATTGGCCAGTCGGATTCGGCACGCCTCTTTGGCAGCATTTTGTTTGGGCGTGTTAAAAGTTAAAATAAATCAAACAGCCATAAATTTGCCGCTTTTGGCAATATGTGGGGAATTCGATACGTTCATCAAATGTAAAAGGGTTCAAGCGATGCGTTTGCTATCTATCAATAAATGTCTCTATATACGAGTACGTGCGGCCCAGACGCCCCCTCACATATTTTATCGAGGGCGGGACAGGACGCCAGGACCCAAACGATACGCATCCTTTAACCAACCAGACGCTGTCTATCTGTCTGGGCCCACAAAACTGGTGAAAAAAAAAAGAGAAATAGAAATCACCCAAAGTGGGGCAGCTTATGAAAAATATGGCGCAAAGGGGTTAAATGACGTATGCATTGCAGCCATTTCTCTTATTCTCCGAGCAACTGACTCTTCATTTGCCTGCCGATGTCTTAGTTACCCAAAGCGGAAGCTCCGAATTTATCATGGCCCCCGACAGGACTCTGTTTGCATTTTATGAGTGGCCAAAAGGTTTCGAAAATATGTATTTTTGGACACCCGAAAAAATGTGATCAATAACGCTTGAGGTGGAAGGACTCTCCTTCGGTGGGCAAACAAATGTGCAGTCATTTTCGGTTTTCTGGGGCCGGGAAGCAGGGAGAAAGTTTGATCTGCCCCAAAGTGAAATAGAATGATGGGTTAAATGGGAAAGGGAATGGATAGGAAACTCTGCCTGTGGAATGTTCCGATTAAGTCTGGTCTTCACAGAGATAGTCCCCCCGGACTAAACGAATGTAATTTGCCTCACCTCTCAACTGACTGTGACTTTTCTCTGATTAATGCCAGCAATTGGCAGAGATATTTCATTTAAATTATACATAAGCAGTAAATAGAGAGAGAGAGAGATGAGACCCCAAAAAATATACAGAGACCGCACTGCAATAAAATATATTGTACGATTGTCTGATTATCAGCACAACCGCAAAACAATTTAATACTAAAACCCAAGCCACATGCTCGGGCACGCGTTCCAGTTCCAATTTCCAAAAGTCTTTTGGGGGGTTGGAGAGCCGCACTCATGATAAATGCACAAAATCTGCAACAAACTGTTGAAAACACGCGCTACATCAGATCAGAGATCGGGGTCAGGGGTGGTAGAAACAGGAACAGAAACAGAAACAGGGTTTTATGTGGCATATAGAATTACAATCTGAATGTACATGCTCTGTTCCCTTTGACAAATCGCCGAGAGGAGTCGAGTTACCCGCTCCGAAGATCTATGCCTAGATTCCTAGATTCAGATTAGCATTGTTGTAGGGCCCAGCCCACAAATTTGTGCATATCACTGGCCAGGTGAAAGTCAAACAACCCCCAACCAGTCGAAAAACCTCAATAACAATAACTGACAATGCGAAGGGCATAAATCTCCCTGGTCAACAATGCGGGAAAAGGATAATTTCGAAAAACCATTAATGGGCCGCGCACATTAACATTCTGTTTTGACAGGCGGCAGTCAAATGAGCGCAGGACATAGGGAAACCTGGATCCCTGGACAGGAAATGCAAGCTGCTGGCCAGAGAACCACAGACAGAGACTTCTGTCACTGACATTTACATGAAATAAATGTCCCCGAGATCGATACTGTGTTCCAAGAAATCGCTGTCACCAGCCAGGAAGCATTAATCATGGTAAGGAACTGAAAGAGGTTTGTTTTCTGCAGTTAGTGATGTGTGGAAGATATAGTATAGTGGTTAAAGGTCATAGGGGTAGTTAAATTGAAAGAAACAAATTACTTTATTATAAAATGTAAATGTTGTTTCCGTACTCTTAACTATACATAGAATATCTTGGATCTTATAAAGATTACCTATATGAGTGGAACATAACTTTGACATATGGGTATGATATGAGAGTTATTATACTATATCTTAATCCGTTGCGCTCATTGCCATACCTTATCTTCTTATGGGATTTCAAGTTCATTATAGTAAAAGGTGTTTTGTTTTTAACCAAGCCAATCTATAAATCGATTCCAGAATCCCTTCCGGCATCATTTAGCTCCCCTTTTGGAAAATGTCAAATACATCCGCTTGCTATTTCAATATATAATTGCAGGACAGAAGCTTAGCAACGTTAAACAAAACGCCTAATCAAATCAGACGCTACCAGCATCTGGGAAAACTTAATCGCTTGATGGGCTTAGGGTTGCCATCGGGCGAAATGCGCAACTCGCTGCCATGAAAATTGTCGACATCAAAGGCATTTTCCAGTTAATAAATGGGCAATAGGAAATGTTATTTATGGCATTATGCCAATAAGACGAGCCCTAATTTAAGGAAGCGCGCGTGGCCAGAAAGAAAAAACCAACTAAATATAACGAAATACAGACAGAGATACGGGATTGTTGTAAAATGCGATTCATTTTTAATCCAATTTGCATATGAAATGACACAAAGCCCGCTAAATGCAACCCTTAATAAGTCACCGAGGGACCTTTGGGCGGCGGTCGCTTTGCGAGCACTTGAAAATATTGTGTAAGTCCCCTCGCAACCACCATCACCACTACCACCACCCTTCGCATTTCCAATTGTCAAGGTTGGGCTTTATTTTATTTCCGGGCATTTCCTACTCAACTATAAATATGTCAAAGTTTCTGGTTACCATGGCCCATTGGTTCCAACTTCCACCCCCTTGCGCTGGCCAAAAAAAATTTTTAAGTATTGTCAATATTAGTAAATATTAAAATGTGTAAGGGTTGCTCTGCACTACACCCCACTGAAATGCCAAATTTGTGTAAGCCGCAAGTATTACAGGCATTGACATTACCCTACTGCCAATTTTTCACTTTCCTATGCAATTTGTGTAATTTTTTATTAAAGACATTAGTCAAATAAGTGCATACACACGGGGCCGATCGCTTCTCATATGACGCCGCCGGGCATTAATCTGAAATGGCAAACGCCCATTCGCCAAGGGAAACCAGAGCAGCATCCATCCCAAAAAAGCACCAACCCACACCCAACCACCCGAAAGCCATTCATTTTCTGCCGACCCACCGTGTGTGCGTCATTTGTTACATTTATTATACATTTTCTACAATTTTCTTTTTTTATGCTGCTGCCGCTGTTGCTGTTGCTGTTGCTGTTGCTGCTTTTGGTCTCAGTGTTTTCGATCTAAACGGATTTGGTTACCCGGCACTCACACTTGCCCATCGCCTCGGAGAAAATTAAACTTTTCGCTTCGCTTTTGTCCGGGGCACAAAAACATTTCATGCACTTATGACACCCACCCATCCAACCATCGAACCACCCCCTGAAAACCAGCCAAACTTCCCCCTTTTCTGGGCAATGACTTTTTCGGGCTCGGACCAAGCCCAGTTTTTATTGCGGCCCTGCTTTATATTGGCTTCATTTTTAGTTACTCAGCTGTTTCGGTTTTCTTTTTTTTTTTCATTCAATGTATATATATTTATAGGAAGGGGGAGGAAGAGTTGCAGCAAATGCTGCAGAGGGGTTAATGTTGCCATGGCTGTGTTATTGTTGTCACGATTTTCACATATTTCATAAATCCAGCCAGATTGCTAATTTGTGCTCTAAATTTGCACAAATGCGGAAATATTTGGTTATGGCTTTCGGTTGGATTTTACTCTGTCATTATGATATTTATTGGTTTCTATTTATCAAATTGGATTTTCCAATCTGATTTAACTTTTTCCTGTGGTTTAAAAGATTGAAAGTTGGGCAAACAAACGCCGAAATGACAATTATTTGGCAGCTGCTAAAGCTTAATTAGATTTATTTTTTTCCTCGGATGACTCTTTTTGTGCAGCTAATGAGCAAAACTAACGACCCTTACCATTTCTTAGCTGATTCGGAGAACTTAACTTATTGGTCAATTTTCGCATTTTTGATACCATCATACTTTTTTGAGAAAAAAGTCTAAAAATGTACATTTCTAACTGTGAATACAAGTTCAACAAGGTATTGCATTCTATAATTTGAGCACTTTCTGGAGACGTATTGGTCCAAATACTGCGTTTTTTGTGCGAAAAATCAGGATAACGATTTATGACCAATATTTGGATTAATTTTTTTTTGTTTTTGCTCATAAGTTGGTCAAAACAAGACGTATAGTGAAAAGAATGACTGCTTTGTGCAGCTAACAACCCGAACTTACAAGTTATGTCCTTGTCCGACCGATTTCGGAGACTTCATTTTTTGGCCAATTTTGCATTTTTGATAAAAATTGTCAAAAATTTAATTTTCCCAGATTTGAATGCAACTTGATTGAGAATCATGGCAATCAAATTACGAGCCCGACGAAGTATTACATTCCACATTTGGACCATTTTTAGCTTTGCAATGGAAAAAAAACGGATTTTTTGCGCCCAAAATGAAGTATACGTCTTTGGACAGCAGAGATTTCGATTTTTTTGCCGTTTCTTAGCTCTAACCTTGTCGAAACAAGACACACGGCTAAAACAGTGAGTGTTTTATGCAGCTTACAACCAAAACTTGTAACCCCTATACCTACTTTTAACAATATTGTTCTGATTTTGTTGGGGCAAGTGCTGATTTAATGGCTAAAAAGTCAAAAAACCTATTCTTAACAGAAATTTGCAATATTATCTGCGGTTTTTTAGCTCTAGTTCAGTCGAAAAGAGGCTCACAGCCATAAGAACGACTGTTTTGTGCAGCTAACGACCCGAAATTGCAAGAAATTTCCTTGTCCGATCGATTTCGAAAACTAAATTTTTAGGCCATATTTGCATTTTTGAAATTTAATTTTCCCAGATTTGAATGCAACTTGATTGGGAATCATGGCAATCAAATTTCGAGCCCTACGAGGTATAACATTCCACATTTGGACCATTATTGGCTTAGTTATAAACAAAATACTGATATTATGGCGCCAAATCAAGAGCTTGCCTTTGGCAGCAGAAAGCCGTGATCTTCTACCTTTCTTAGTTGTAACTTTGTCAGAAAAAGTCCCATGGCTAAAACAACGACTGATTTATGCAGCTAACTACCGACACTAAAGCCCCCTATACTTGTTTTTGTTTTGTTCTGACTTTTTGGTGCGAC